ATAGGGGGAAAATTAGCGGGTGAAATTACAGAAAAGGAGTGGAAAACAAAAAGAGGAAGAGAAGTTACTTGTTGATCTGAGCAATGGCACCATCAAAGAAGATAATGGAAGTGTCGTAGAGGCCTTCGAGAGCGTATTCTCGAGCCAATTTCAAGTGATCTTGCAATCCAGCTAGCGAATTTCCGATCATTTCGATTTCACCATGAAAATCCCAAAAGAGAAACAGCAAATCTCCCAAAGTTTAGGCCCTAGGGGTTTAAGTTCGAAGAAGAAAAATCTTTCTCCAGTTTGGAGAAAATGGATTCTCCTTGACGGCGACGTTTGAAGTTCAAAACCAAACGGGAGGTAAGGAGATTGAGGTACGAAAGCTGGAAATCACGCTTTATCTCGTGATGGGTTTACGGAGGTAATAGAATAAAAGATTACTAGAGAATAAGATTATTAAGAATGTTGTATTTTGTGTTTAGTTTGTTTAGTAGGAATGTAAGATTATCGTATTTGATTAAAGGAATAAATGATTATTGGAATGTATATTTGATCAAATTGTTCTTATTATATATTTGTATAATATTACAAATTGTAAAATATTTATATATTTTCTTTAAAACATTAAATTCATAATATTTATATATTTTTTTACAAAATTAAAAATATAAAAAATGTTTAATGAAAGGGTAATTTTTTAACACCTGAACTTCATATAAAATTTTAATTATAGATTTTTTTTGTAAATCTAAAATAATTTAAGGATAAATTTTTAATTTAACCTTCGTATAATTTTTATTATTCAATGACAGAAGAATGATATTTTTGAAAAAAAATAAAAATTTAAGGGTATTTTAGTCCAAAACGCCGATAATGTTACATTACCTAAGGGAATGGAGGTAATGACATTCCCGGTAATATACCCACAAAAATCTACTATTGATAATAAAACATAACCGGGAATGAGATTCCCGGCCAACCAAACATGAGAATGTGGGATTCTCATCCCATGAAAATCTCACAATCCTTGAACCAAACACCTCCTAATTGACGAAGGAAATTACATTGTATCATATATGTTATATTTTATAAATAAATGAAAATCGAAACATGGTGTAAGCAATCTCATATACGATTAACATTCATTAATACCATTCGATACCTAAGTAGCAGTCATTACAAAACAAGTAAAATGAAACGAGCATGACATATTAATATACTTAAATGAAATAATATATGCGTATATATATGACCTCAACTATCATAAACATTAATCATAAATACTTCATAAGAGGAAAACAGGTTTGTGCACCCATTTTATACAAAGGCAAGCAGAATTTCACAGTTGACTCGATTTAATTATAAGCCTAAATACCAGGAAAAACTGGCATAACGATTCATACAAGTCCAGAATCTATTTAAAAAACATGTACAAGCTGCCAAACGAACATGAACTACAGAAAGAAATAGTGAGAAAGAAATCCCAAAATCCATGTCCAAATTTCATAAGTGATCGCCATATGAAAAGGGTAAGAATTCATAAAGAAAAAGTTACTTTCTTGATTCCATAAGAAGGGCTCGCTGTTTGGCACTTTTATCTGATGCAACGTCTACCTCACCAGCTGTGTAGCTGCACAAAACAGGAAGAACCCTCTTGTTATTGACTCAATTTCCAAGTATGCCATGAGCACAAAAGCATACAAATCACTTACACATCTAAGTACATGTAAACTCTCAGATGATAAATACCTTGAAGGAATAACTGTTTGGGGAACAAAAGGAGTGTGTGCTGTTTCTCTTTCTGCTGCAGGCCGTTGAGCTTTCTGAAATTCTTTCAAAACTGCTTGAAAGTCTTTTGCAAGTTTGGTATAAGTTACCTTCTTGCTTGCCTACAATTACACGGATATAAAGGGCATCAAGTACTTCCAGAGAGGAGGGGTCAAGCAGTAATAAAAATAATTTCAATGTACGAATTACCATGAGTTCGAAATATAGAACATGAGGAACATCATGAACAACAAACAGTACAGTCATCTCCTTTTCATCGACTAAAAAAGTAAAAGAGAAGGCTGATCGATGAAACCCAAAATCATAACCAAGAAATAAACTGACACTAACTTCAGCACGATGATCTGTTTCACTAGCTTGTTTAAGTTTAGCCGAAGTGTCCTTCACCAATTGTCCAATATGTAGCCTCGTTTTATGCCTGCCAAGTAAGATTTGTTAGGTATACTCCCCACTCATAAATCTAATTACACCATTTAGTCAAAATCAATCAAGAAATGCGTAAGATAGCAACTCGTTGCCCATGCAATACAATGATGAGATCAATGAGTGAGCGAGAAAAATACAAAACCCAACATTATATATAAAAAAACTTATATACTTGTTCAGAGAATTCTGACATTCATCCAAACGACAATGATAATTCGCTGAGCTTTCTCAAAAGTCAAATTGAACTTGACAAAAGGCATTATTTGTCACCCCTAATTAAACACCAGCAAAATTTCCTTAACACCAGCATCTTTAACACCTGTGCAACAAGGGCAACACAGAAACAAACGAAACCGAAGCAGCCTCAATTTTCCATAGTTTTCTTGAAGCTGCTAAATCTAATCTAATTTAACAAAAACGAAACCGAATTTACACAATTCTAAAACAAAAAAAAATCATGAAATATATATATAACAAGAAACGGGAACCTTTGACAAATTCTTCAAGTTCTGAAGCACAAAGCTTAGACACATCGATAGTGTTCTGAACAATGAGACGGTTGTTTGGTAATCTTCTTTTTCTTCGACCTTCTCTAGGGCTTTTAGATTTGGGGGGGGGGGAGAACGAAATGAGGAGCCATTATTGGTTTTAGCAGAACTTTAAAGCGAGAGAGAGCTTCTCTACCTTTGAGAAAAAGTGAACTTAAAAAATGAGCGGCAGAATCCTAAAAAAGGAAAAGGAGATCTGCGAGATATAAAAATTTGCGGGGTTTGTAAATACAAACGCCACTAGAAACAGAAAAAAATGCGGTGAATTTATTAAAAACGCCAAAACAGAAAACATTGCGACTTTATTAAAAGAGCCACTAAAGGTTCTAGGACGATAAAAGACACAAAAATTGCGGCGTTGTAATTAAAAATGCCACTAAAATACTGAAAAATACGGCGTTTGTAGTTAAAAAGCCGCTAAAATACTAAAAATGCGGCGTTTAATAAAAACGCTACTGTATATGATATCTATTGCGACGTTTAAATAAGAAACGCCACTAAAGGTTATGGTGCAATAAAAGACTAAAAAATTGCGGGTTTTGACATTAAAATTGCCACAATATATGAAATCTATTACGACGTTTGACTAAAATATGCCACTAAAGTACATGTCTTTTTTGACGTTTTAATATGTGTAAAATTGGTGGCGTTTACTCTCAAAACGCCCAAACGCCGCAATATGTGTAAAATTGATGATATTTACTCTCAAAATGCTGCCACAAACATATTTTGCTGTAGTGAGAAGAAGAAACAAAAGAAAAAGGCTCATTTCTAAATGTCATAGGGTCTATATACTAACCTTTAGTGTTGATGTCAAGTGTATGACTATGATAGCTACTCGTAGGTTGAAAAGTGAATAGATTCAATTGTTAATAAATCATGTGGACGTGCAGATGATCACACCGAGTGATCATAATTTGTCAAATTATATAGAAATATAAAAGTTTCAAAAAACTATGGAAGTACAACCTATTGTCCATCGGACACATGTTCGATTCCCTAACACTCTTTATCTTTACTACAAATATTTAATTAAATAATTATTTTTTGTTTATTGATGTTGCATTATGCCACGTTAGCTTACTGTACAAATGACAAAGTCACATCAATTTATGATGCTATCTCAAGGCGTTGACTGACTATTTTTATTCGGTTGTACTAAAATGAAACGTTGGGTTTAAAATATTCTAAACAAAAGAATAAGGACCAAAATGATCATTTAATCAAATGTTAGGAGTGTTTTAATGCATTATGCCTTTTGTTATCCATAACATAGTCTAATGTAAAAAAAATATTTATTCCCAATTACGTATCTCTTAATTGAATAACAAATATCCTGGAATGGTGCGGAGACAGTGTATTAGGGAATTTATTTGTGTTTTAGGTTTGAAAGACTAATTTTAATTTTTTATATTGTGACCAATAAAGTGAGGACGTTTATTAGATTAATGAGATGTGTAAATAATTATGGTAAATTACATATTTAGTATCTTATCTATTTTTTTGTTTTTATTTTAATTACTTAATTATTTTTTAATAAAATTCATACATATTATTACATGTTTTTATTTTAGTAATCGATTGTTAATTTTGATAATTGACTTAACAATAAAGTGACGTGTCATAGTATTATAATGATTTTGAACTCTAAAACTTTTATATTCTATAATTTTGAACCTAATTTAAAAACAATTCATAAATTTTATCCTAAATTCCATTTTCTATCCGAAACCTCAAACTTAATATGATATTAGTATATTTTATTTTGAAGAATTAAATTTATTAAATTAGTTTTAAATTAGAATTAAATTGTTAGGGTATGTAAGTTTTAGAAACTACAACTATTAGTATATTGTGTCTTGTCACTTTATCCATTAATTCAACGATTAAATAACGGTTAGTGATAAAAAAATATATAAAATATATATTTTTATTAAAAAAATAATTGAATATCCATTATAATTGTTTATAAGAGATTAATTTGTGTTATAAATTGCAAATTTATGAATTAATAGGATGAAAAATCGACTAATAAAAAATGGTTAAATTGGGAGATAATTCCAACGCTTAAGAAAGGTAACTCTGTTACTCTCATTTCAACCACAAAAGTTGACATCACGTAGAACCCTCAACGTGGCCACACATTAGCCGCACCACATTTATTTTTCTAACATACGCAACATGCGCAGAATTGAAAGCGGCCCTCTCATCTCAACTAACAACCATCCTTATTCCTTATCCTATACCCCTCTTGTGCACGTTAGCCAACATTTATCCCTCCCACATTTAAGGCGCCAAACCAACTCAAAGTCTCCAACGGTCCAAAACTTCATTCGAAAACCGCAATTTTCTTTTGTTGTTTCATGAAACTTCCCCTTTCTCTAACGAATCCGAACATGGCATCCGGGTCAGGGTCGTTAATGTGGTTCCGAAAAGGGCTCCGGATCCACGACAACCCGGCGCTCGAGTATGCTTCCAGAGGATCCACCTGTGTTTACCCTTTGTTCGTGATCGACCCTCACTACATGGAGCCGGACCCAAACGCGTTTTCCCCCGGGTCGACCCGAGCGGGTATAAACAGGATACGGTTCTTATTGGAAAGCCTCGCTGACCTTGACTCAAGTTTGAAGAAACTCGGGTCGAGGTTGTTGGTTTTGAAGGGTGAACCCGGTGAGGTTTTGATTCGTTGCTTAAACGAGGTGATTTTTTTCTTATACTTTACATATATTGTTGTTATGTTAAAAGTTAAAACTCTGAAATATTGTCTTTTTTTTTCAATTTTTTAAAATATTTTTTGTTTATTTTATGGGTTTCTGGCAGTGGGATGTTAAAAAGCTTTGCTTTGAGTATGACACTGATCCATATTATCAAGCTTTGGATAAGAAAGTTAAGGTAAAAACTGTTCATTTATGTTTCTCTTTAATGAACAGTAGTTTATAGTTTTCCTTTAGATTCTCAAATTTTAGTGTTATATCAAAACAAAATTGGCTTCCACCAACAATGTAGTCCGATGGTTGTAACATAATATTTTCAATTAGTTGGAGGTTTAGTGTTTCAGGGAAGATGTATGATTCATGTTATGCAGGGCTGTAAGCCTTTTCTTGTACTAGACATATCTGTGTTACTTGGACTTTGATGTGCGTATAAAATACGAGTACATGTCTAAAAATAGGTATTTCCATTTTCTTCCTAGATTTTCTATGTATGTGGAGTGTCGTTGGAGGAACTAATATTAATACCCATATCCAAATATATGTCAAACATGGGTGTCGAATATGGGCACTTCAAGAAAAATGTAAAGTCGGAAGTCAGAACATCATAGGAACATATGTTGAATTGCATATTACCATTAGTTAAGTTAGAAATTGATCTGTTTAATTAGTGAACAAAGATTGCCTTTGTTTCAACAGAATTATGCTTCTGCAGCTGGAATCGAGGTTTTTTCTCCTGTGAGTCATACGCTGTTCAATCCTGCTGATATTATAGAGAAGGTAAGCAAGAAGTTGGTATCAACAGAGTATGGAACTTTTAGCGTCAAAGTTGTCATTCTTTTTTTGCATACCAAGGATGCTATTTATTGTTTTCTAATCGATAGTTACTTTTCATTAATGCGACAAATGTCTACAAAAGAATGGAGGAAGACCACCATTGACTTATCAATCCTTTTTAAAGCTTGCTGGGGAACCCTTGTGGGCATCTTCCCCACTTTCGGTTGAACTTTCGTCGATTCCTCCTGTCGGGGATGTTGGAAGTTGTGAGATTTTACAAGTTCCAACGCTAAAGGAACTTGGGTATGTGGAAGAGTATCAGGTATGAAGCTATCAATGTTTCAGAAATGTGTCTTTGCTTTAAAGAGCTCTTTATAAAGAAGGGACCCTTGTACAGGATGAATTCACTCCCTTTAGAGGTGGTGAGTCAGAGGGATTGAGGAGGTTGAGAGAAACACTATGTGACAAGGTATGATCTTATCTTTTGGTACTGAACATTGAATTAGTAAAAGCAATATTATGGCCTTGAAGTTTTGGGAAAGGCATTCTTTCGTAGGACGGTGGAATTGATATTGAACTTCTATATCTACCATTAGTAGTACATAATGTAGATAAATGACAGATTATCATGTCCTCTGTTGACTTTATGTGTTTTGGATAACCATGGAAAACTTTTGGTTAACTTTCTTCTTTCATTTTATTTTTAAATAATAGCTTGTGTTAATTCTTATCTGAATTACTGTAACAACATTTTAATCAATTTGATCTTCCTAGTTAAGGCAATAGGGGCATGTATGATGAGAGAGCTGCATTTGATAGTTAGATAAGTTCATTGAGCTTAGGTTGGTCTAGGTGAATATATCAAGCTGAGGAGAAAAAGTTGGCTGCTCTCCTGTCATTGTCATATTTCATCATTGCCTTGATAGGAATGTGTGATTCATACGTGCCTAGTGATATAACATAAAGATGCATCTGGTTTACTTGCAATTGGTCCATCTGTATTTTTCCTTCTAATGTCTTGGTGAGGACAACTTCTAAGCTCCTGCTGAAATGTGAAATCTTCTACGATTTTTCATTAACTGAACCTGATTTCTTGAAAAAATGCTTCAGTTATCTTATTGGCTTTCTCATGTTGTACTTCTTTTAATATTTCAAAACTTGAGTTGTTTATGGCACTCGCATTCATATAACCCCTTTCTTCTACTGTAGGAATGGGTAGCCAATTTCGAGAAACCTAAGGGTGACCCGTCTGCATATATAAAGCCAGCAACAACTGTTCTATCACCTTATTTGAAAGTGAGTGAAAAAAAGATTAACTGATATTGGCTTCGGATTGTACCTTTGATTGTAAAAATTTTGTAATACGCTGATAAAAAAATCTTTAAGAGATCTCACACTATCATTGCTAGCACTTTCTTTTTATTTTGTTCATTCTCTATTCTGTTTCTGATCCTTTTGGCAGTTTGGATGCCTCTCTTCCAGGTATTTTTACCAGTGCCTTCAAGATGTCTATAAAAATGCTAAGAGGCATTCATCACCACCGGTTTCTCTGGTTGGGCAGGTCGGTTTCCTATTACTTGTTCTTCACTACTGTGAGATAATTTTGTTGTTTGGTCTACCTTTCTTTCAAAGATTTGAGAGCTAGATTCCATCTATGCAGTTGCTATGGCGTGATTTTTTCTATACCGTCGCATTTGGAACTCCTAATTTTGACAAAATGAAGGGTAACAAAATATGCAAGCAGGTAGTGCATTTAATGTACTAAACAAAACCTTTTTATGCAAATGTCAGCTTTTTTTTCTTTCTTTCTCCGCATTCCTCTTAGAACCATACAAAAAGAAAAAGGAAAGGAACAAAATAAGTAGAACATTTTTCGGTGCTTGAAGTTGTCAGAGCTTGAATATTGATCATTGCAGCTAAAAGTGTCCAGCAGTCTACCAACAAATCACATGCTTGTTAGCCTAAGAACCACATTGTATTACACTATAGATGACAACCTTTTGAAGTGAGAAGCTCTTCCATATAGGCTTACAACTCCTGTATTTATTCATCCATGTTTGTTTTGTAACTAGAATTGTTTCACCATAATTTCCAAATGATCTGGTTATGTTTGCCTTAAATTGATACCCTGCAATGCAAGTACCGAATATCTAGATGGTTTTGTTTAAAAGCGAGAAAAAGGTAAATGAATGGTTGTGATTGTAACTTCTTGTAGGATGAACTAGCTTGCTTATACTCAGTGTTTTTCGTAAGTTCTCTCACCTCTTTGATAACTGGATTATGAGTATATGGGTTATATTGACATTATTAGGTGCTTTTTCATGTGCTCTGTATCATCCATAAAATTTGAATATTAAGAGGATTAATCATTGATTAATCTTACATGAGACATAACTGACATGCTGCATTGAACTCTGTACTTACTATGTATAAAGCTTTGATGTTATGCAGTTTTGTGATTTCAGATTCCATGGAATGATGATGACAAACTCCTAGCTGCTTGGAGGGAAGCTAGAACAGGTTTCCCTTGGATTGATGCTATCATGGTCCAGGTTTTTGTGGCACAACTTGATACCTTTATCTAATCTTTTGCACATTTGGTGTCATGTTTGTGCATTTTAATTTTATTAACATCATTGTAGCTGCGGAAGTGGGGTTGGATGCACCATCTTGCACGTCACTCTGTTGCGTGTTTCCTTACTCGTGGAGATCTTGTATGTTCTTTTATCATGCTTCAGCACATTTCTTTCTTCTTTCGATCATTTCTCGTCATAAGTTGCATTTCCTTTTCCTAGTTTGTTCATTGGGAAAAAGGACGTGATGTCTTCGAGAGACTTCTAATTGATTCAGATTGGGCAATTAACAACGGGAATTGGCTCTGGCTATCGTGTTCATCGTTCTTTTACCAGGTTCGAACCATAAGTAGACCCTTTTATACTGGAATTAGCTGGATTATCGTATCGATGAATGATATCGGAATGTCCTAGATATTTTTACCGAGTGATATTTCATTATCAAAAGTAGGTTTTTCACAGTAGATACTAGTTTGTTGCTTGTGATCTAGGTTCTTAGAGTTGAAATTTTATTTCCAGAATTGCTGCCAACTTTGCCGTTTACATAACTCGGCTTTTAACATGAATGATTGTTGTTTTCAACAGTATAACCGCATATATTCACCGATATCGTTTGGAAGGAAATATGATCCAAATGGTAATTATATTAGGCATTTTCTCCCCATACTAAAAGGTATTTTTGGTTTCCACCCTTTTCATCGTCATATGTAGTGAAACTGTCATGTGCTAATATCAACATAAGACTTACGATGTTATCGGATCTCAGACATACCCAAGGAGTACATATATGAGCCATGGACAGCTCCACTTAGTGTGCAAACTAAAGCAAAGTGCATTATTGGAAGAGATTATCCGAAACCAGGTTTGTTATCTTATTGTGAGGAATGAGTTTGAAGTTTCATCTCAAGAATGATAATATCCCTCCCTAGCTACTCTTTTATATCAGTGTTGAATCTGCAAGTCCATCGTGTAGTCTTTGTTACGGTTGTAAATGAAACAAGACAGATAGTGAGCTATTCGAGTTTGATCCGGTCAAAACTCGGTCAATACTCGAATTGAATGGACTCAACTCTATTCGAGTTCTTAATGAACTTAAGTGAGCTACTTGATATCAGACTTGAAAAGCTCGCGAGCAACTCAATTTAAATTAAATTATTAATAATATTAATATTTATATGTTGTTGATTTTTTTTAATAAAATACAATATAAGGCCATGATGCACATAAGATTCAGGTTTAAACTCGAGTTCAAGCTTGAATTGAGCTCGAGTTTGAGCTTTTTTAGTTGAGCTAAGTCTAAGAATGTTTCGAGTTTAAGCTTTTTTCGAGCTCAAGTTGAGCTTCAATTTTTGATTTCGAGTTTGAATCGAGCGTGACAATTTTAAGCTCGTGAACTTTCTAGTCGAGTCGAGTTCATCTTTAAACTTTTCGAGTTGAGTCGAATTCAACCATTGTCGAGCTCGGCGGCTCGTTTACTGCCCTAGTCTCTATATAAATTTTCAGATAAGAAGTGTTGTGACAGATCATCTCAACAATTCAATTTGATGCTATGTTACTTTGGTGTGAGTTCCAGATCATCATATAGGATGGTTTGCTTATATCATTGCAATGTATTTCAGTGGTTTCACATGAGACTGCAAGCAAAGAATGCAAAAAGAAAATGGGGGAAGCTTATGCAGTTAACCAGAGGCTGAATGGAGCTGTAAGTGAAGAAGATTTAAGGAATTTGAGAAGAAAATTTGCTGAAGGCGACGAAGAGCAGCAACCCAAACCCAGAAGGCTAAGACAAAAGCTCATAAACTGAACTTCCTATTCTGTACGATTCCACCTAAATCTATCCTTTCTTCTATTTTAGGATATTTGTTAAGATATTTTATTGGATACATTTCTTAAACAAATCGTAATTGTAGGATATTTTGCATGTACAATTTAATAAATATTTGTTAAGATGTTAGAAGATGTTTGCATTTACTATATCTATTTTTTACTCATAGGGACAAACTTAAAAAAATGATTTTCTTTATAATAGGTAAACTACCTATTTCGTCATCATATATTCTAGATTTTCGCTTGAATTTTTTTTAAATTATATTTAACGTTATATATTTTTTATTTTAGTCATCGTTGTTGAGAATTTCATCGTTAGCAATCTTATGATGTTTTTTTAATAAATTTATTTGATTCTTAAGATGTTATAATTTTACCAAAATATATATTTAACTTATATTACATTATCACCACTAAAATATTCTTTTGTTAAGTTAAGGTCCAAAACTAGGACCTTTCACATAAAATAATAAATATTTTTCAAAATAAAGGGACAATAGCCTTTTGAGCCTTTACACAACAATGATTCCGTTGGATATAAATCCAGGAATAATTTAGGTACCTATTGAAATTTAAGGGTTTATTTGAATGTAATAAGAATATAAAAATTTAAATAAATTATAAAGTTAAAATAATTTATTTATTATATTAATCTTTTTATTTTTGTTTTTTTATTATAGAAAATCTATAATTTTATTAAAAAAAATATCCATAATTACAATGAAAATTTACGAGCATAACAATAAGCGTAAACTAAATTATATTTAGGACATTTTCCTATGACTATTGACACAAAAGCTATCCACATAGATCACACAAGTACCATAAAAAGGAAAATGTTAAAAAGACCTAACCAATGCTCGAACAAAATAAAGAGACGAATAAATCTAACGGCATCGGCAAACGAACTACAAAAGGGGATGAAACTACTGAAAGATCACCGAAAAATCGTAAATAAGAGTGAAGCGACATGAGAAAACTACCCACGAGCGTAAAATACGTATCCAAATCAATCCAAGGGTCCAAAATAAGAAATTTAAGTGTGATAACAAATAAACGTCATCTTGATGAGTCGTGACGATGCCAATCCAACCCTGAGAAAAATATAACCGAAAACAACGAAAAAAAATCGTAAACTACTAAAAGGCAGAGAAAACATACTATAAAAACATAGATAAACGTGTCACAAAAGTAGAGAACATGTCACAAAGACATAATTATCCTTATTTACGTGTATTTCATGTGTTATATAAATTTGTATTATAAATTATATATAATTTTTTAACGCGGTAATAATCTATTTTATTTATGTTTTATCATATTCATATATTCATGTCATATTTGTTTTTTTTATGTTTTTTATATTTGAATTATTTTTATTTTGTATCTTTATCCTATCTTAATTTATATAGATTATCATATTTATTTAAATTGAATTTTAAATTTTATTTATAAAAAATATTAAAATATAAACAATTATTAAACTTTGAAATAGTTTTTGATAAATCTGTACTATAATAGTATAAGGAAAGAACAAGTCAAGATTTTGCCGCTGAAACGGGGGCAGCCGTTAAAAACTTGCACAAAGTTCGCACAAGTAACGAAAATGGTACGTGCCAAAATAAACAGCGAACGCTGAAAAAGAGAGGGAAAACTGCAATCGCTCCTAAAAGAACGCCTAAAAATAACCCCCCCCAAAAAAGATTAAAAATCTTTGGAATTCAGAGATATGTGGAGAAGGCTACTTACTTCACACTTCAAAACCCTAGCCACCGTCCCATGCCGATCCTCTTCTAAAACGCCGCCGCCGCTTCCCCGTTTCAAATCTCACGTTTCTCCATCCCCTTCCGCTTATTTCCTCACTCACCGCTTCTCTTCCTGTTCAGGTAAGTCTAATTTCCATTGATCCTCGTAAACGTGTCATTTTGGTTTCGAGCTTTGCATCCCTTTTGCAAGTCTTTTAATATGTATTTGTTTCTATATGAATATTTTAGATCTGTGCTTAATGTGAATTGAAATTTGAAGATGTAAAAAGTTTGATTTCCTGCATCCGACATTGATTTCGATTGGTTTGGAATGTGTAGCGCATACTGCAGTGAAGGAAAGGGTTGAGGATGTAATGCCTATCGCCACTGGTCATGAGCGCGAGGAGCTTGAGGCTGAGCGCGAGGTATTTTTCCTCTTACACTCTTTGTTTTGGTTTCAAAACGTGAGAGGATTTCTTGTGATTGAAGATTATTGTTATAAGCGTAATTCGTGACTAAATTTAATTTACTGCCGTCCCTGTTTATGCATCAAGCTGGTACTTTTTCATCCTCAATTTAATTTTTTTTGTTTTCTTTTGCTTAGGGAAAGAAAATCCTTGAAGATGTAAACAACCCAGTAGGTCCTTTTGGCACAAAGGTTAGTGTGGGTTTCAATGTTTTTCACAGCCTATCACGATGGAAGAACCTATACTTGATCACAAAAATCTGCGTCTTACTTCACTTGACCCACCTTTTTATACATATATGTTAAATCAAGGGTGACTAGTACTCTTCTTTTGTGAATATATCATTTTGATTTGGGCCTCTTTATATGGTGATAATACCCCTTTTTTCCTGTTGGAAACTGGATACTGACCATTTTGAATATAAGAATGATGTAGACTTTTGATGGTTGAAGTAATTTTATCTGCTTGTAGGATGCTCCAGCTGTTGTTAAGTCCTACTACAACAAGAGAATAGTTGGATGCCCAGGAGGTGAAGGTGGTAAGATCCTCTCATTAGTTCGCTGTTTCTCTTTTTCTAACTTCAATTATTGTATTCCTTCTCAGATTTATATGAAATTGAGCCATTCTGCTTGATCTAATATTTTATTTAATTTGACTTGCATATTTAAAAAATGCAGAGGATGAGCACGATGTTGTCTGGTTTTGGCTGGAAAAAGGCAAGCCACATGAGTGCCCAGTTTGCTCACAGTATTTTGTGGTAGGTGGATATATTGAATTAGAAGACATTCATAAACTTTTAGTAGGCATATTATTAAGCTCGCATATAAATGCTATTTTCTTTGCAGTCATCTGATTCAATGCCTGTTAAGATATTTCTCTTGGCCTATACAATGGTTCAACAATAACTCTAAATGATGAGAATTGATTGTTAATGATCTGTGACCTTGTGCGATATATAAATGGTGTTGGTTTATCTATTCATAGGGAAGCTTGTGAAGAGCATGTTTGATCGACCAGTTCGTGCAATATGTAACTTATGTATATCGATGCGATGTTGTTAACTTGGTTTTTGTTACTTTATCTTTTACTCCATAAATTGATCAGTGGATACAAGTAAGAATCATGTATTAGATTGAGCTGCAATGTCTGATCAATAAGAGATTGTAGTCCTTTAGATCACCCCTGAAAGGCGTGAATGAAACTACAATGACATTGCTTTGCTTGAAGTGCTCAGGTTGTCTCCGGCTCCTGCATTATAGGATTTTTCCTAATTATTTCGTTTGATGTTTGGCAGCTGGAAATTGTGGGTCCTGGAGGTCCTCCAGATGGACATGGTGAAGATGATCATCATTAGTTGCAACTTTCGATTTCTCGAAATAAAATTTTGGAGATGATGGAATGATGTCCAGCTTTGGATGCACCTTCAAATTTTAAAACCAAGGTTTGTCTTGTTTTGTTTTCATTGGCCCTCGGATCTAATGGTCATTTGAGATGGTATCTCCATTTTTTTCCTGCCAATTTAGACACAGGGTGGTCGTGTTTTTCAACTATGGATCGTTTTAGGTTAACAAATAATCCATGGCGGCCTTAGCATTCTTCCATTTGGTATGTCGTCCCTAGATGTTTCAATTTATTTTTCATATCGTATCTGTTTCTTGGACTCGAATGTGAGTATTGGATATTCTAATATCATATTGTATCAAACATCAGTACTTAAATAAAAATGGTGAATTTGAGGTACATAACTGGGATTCAATTGCCTTGTGCAGTAGTCATGAACATTTATTAGTTGCGTGTATATATATATATATATATATTGCCATTCTTGAATCTTTTATATTTTCTAATTTTGGATGAATGGACTTGGTAGCAAGTGCCGTATAAATGTAATGATTTTAATTTGGATCCTTGTATATGTGCGTGTTGAGTAATCTGATTATTCATGAATTGATCCTCAAACTTTTTAAACATTCCAATTTCATCCCAAACTATATGTATATATTAATCAATAATCGCATCTATTGTTAATAAAATCGTTAGGCCAAATTATATTATTATATGTTTTGAAAACTAAAATTTAAGTTAAATTATGATTGAAATAAATTACATATTTGTATGAATTATGTTACACGGGTTTCTTGATGGTAACTTCTTAGATTGCAATCAAAATAGCTATGCAATTTATATGATTTGTTATGGAGAATATAATATTTTCAATTTCAACTTAAAATATTATCCTGTTTACTCTAAAACGTTACACAGTTGATAAGTTTTTTTTATTACAACCGATTGCAGCTTTTTTTAACATTACAGTAACCGATTTATTTTAGACTCCAAAAAAATCTATAGGATCAATATGGCTTAAAATGAAAATATTTTTGAATGAGGAAACTATATATAATAAGAGGAAATCCTTAAAAATCTTTGAACATTTTTTTATTTGAACAAAGGTTATCAACTCTGTGTTTACAATATTTTATCGCAAGCAGAGAGTGATCGCTATCTGACTACAGAACTTGTAAATTCTATGGACTACAAACAACAAATTGGTTGATAAAAATGTAGGCAACATCCAAATGGCAGAGCTTTATGTTCTGCTTTATTAAATAAAGTAGAGGGTAAACTACTCAACTAACCACTTAACTATGGGGTTGGTGTTGATATAATCACCATACTTTTAATTTTGACAATACAGCCTTGAAACTATTTAATTTGTTTTATTGTAGTCACTTGTTGTTACAAAACAAACGGTGTTGCTGGCGTGGACCTCTGACTCGTGGTGAGTCAATAATAGTCATACTCATGGTGGTGGCGTGAGAAATATTTACGGCTAAAATTTAAAAGAATACTAAAGAGGAAAAATATTTTTTTAATAGTTTGAGGTAATTATAAGAGTTATATCTCCTCAGAATCTTTTTTAATGATTGACAACATATAGATACAACATATTTACTTGATCCCGGATCTCAAAGGAGAATAACACTTCAACCACCGACCGTTTGATTGGTTCTAAATGGGGAAACATGTTAATAACAACGACTAAAAATAATGAAATTTATTGAGTACATGCAACAGTAGATTGAGAGAAAAAACAATATTTTGTATTGCCTATAATGATTTGCTAACCATAAAATGTTGATTTGTACGTTCAAATTCAAACTATAACAAGAACAGAGTTCAATTGCATCAATGATGGTTAAAAACACGAGAGAGAGCCGTCTTTGATCAGTGTAATATATTTTCTAGAATTTTTTAACCCTAAATTCTACCGATGGTGAGATAAGAAAATAATAATGACAAATAGTTTTTAGTTATGTGAAAATAAATGTATGAATATATTTAATTTTAATTGGTTGAAAATATTTCGAATATACACTATCTTATAATCATCTTATAATAATAAAAGAAATTAAGAATCAATCTAAATAATAAACTTAACCAAAGTGAAAAACGTATAATTTAGGGATTAAAAAATGCATTAAGTCTAAGTTATATTAGAATATTTTCTGAAACACAATATAATAAATCACATCATTACTCACTAAAGTATCGATCACAATAACGTTTTTCTCTATTTTGGCCACACCGTTAAAAAAACAGTATATGTTTACCTTTAATAAATTAATATGGAAAAAAAACAGTTGAGTGAATTTGATGTTCATGGATTCAAAACACTTAAAAAATATGAAGTAGCGAGCTCTTAACTTTTATATTCGTAAAGCTTTTACATGACATTCAGACCGTGCAAGATCACGAGGAAACAAGATTATTAACACTACATCACCATTGCTTGTTTCTTCAAAGACTCACGCTTACAAACTGTCTTGAACTCCGACGCCTTCAACCGAGCTGCACATCTTCCTCCGATAAAACCCGAGAACATGTTCAACCTAGAGGATATGGGTTCGAATGAGAAGGAATGATCATTACGCGTGTAGAAAACAAACGTAACATTCTGACGCCGGGTTTAGTAACGTTAATTGTAACCCAATTTCTTCATATCTTTGGAAAACAAAGACGGAAATCACTAACAATGGAAGATTCAACCTTTAAAAGTTTTCCCAAGAACTAGAGGGTCTCGGAGACTCATATCGCCAAGCATTGGTATATTTATGTAATATATAAAGGTCAGTGAAGAAAAACGTTAACGAGATTATTAATGGAATCGGATTACTACTCACAAAATGCACGGATAAGAGGGTTTGGTACGGAATTCTATTAACATCACTTTCTGCTTCGGCTCCCAGTACCGGCAAATGTCCTCACGCTGATGGGTTCAGCTGAATTAACCAAGTCTCTCTGGCCGACAGAAGTGCTTGCCCGGAATCCATGAGTATGCGGAGAACTTGGTCCGCTCCCCTTGGAGGCTTCAGTCTCCAACGTCTTAGCTTCATCTGTCAGCATTGATAACTGTTTTAACAGAAAATGTTCAAGTCTCGAACGTAGAATTTAGACCGGAAAGATTTAGATGATATCATAAACCACAAAAGAGAGCATACATCATTTCTGAACCCAAAGACCAACAAAATAAATTAAGACACCAAGTCTTAAATTTTTCTTTTCTTTTTAAATCAATCTTTTATATCTGCAACTCTTCTTTGTTTTAAATAAGACAACAATCTCTTTATTTTCTCTGTTTTCTAACTTTTCTTCTAATTTCCATTGCTAATCTCATTGCAAGCTATGAATCATTGAAAGCGATACTCATATCCAGAGTTATAAATCATTGAAGTAATCTGGACATGTCTTCACAAATTTGATGAACGGAGTTGCGAACTCTCCATCTATCGGAATTTCCAAGGATAGGTCTGATAAGTTTCCCTAAGAGTAAATATAACTGCTATCTTAACTATAAAACAATTTAATTTCATTCTGTACCCGAATTTCATTCTCCTTTAATCGATCCTGAAGTGCACTGATGGCAGGACTTAAACTGCAAATTAATAAGGAACATGAGTACAAACATAAAAGCATCACAAATAATTGAAAGGGGTTTGCATCTGTTTCTAACCAATATTCGATTAACTTGCACATGGAAGCTTGATATGTAGATGTGTGATGGATGAAAGAAAGGGGATGCACTTTGCCATCTCTGAGTCAAATGAAGTGAAAGGTAGAATCAGCAATAAAATAATAAGTTTACGGTAGGAGAAATCAAAATACTTTCCCCTTTCCCATAAAATAAAACCTCATATTTTGCAAGATGGCTTGGTTATATGCTGCCCGCTCCTCTTCATATAGTACACGTTGCAAATCCGTGAATGACCTTAACGGCGAGTCAAGGTTAACAAGAGAAGATGTTGGCAAAACATGAAGAGGAATTTCTTTCCGGACATACTCTGCACCGCTGTCAACACACAAAAAAGAAATACCAGTATCTCAAATTCACAGTTTCTTAAACTCTATATGCCATACTAGCAAGCTGTTTCGGTGTTGGTGCATGTGCAAACCAAAAGATCTTCATTACACAAATCCAGGATATGCAAGTTTCAAATCCAAAAAGGTATTGCACGGTCAAGTACATACTCATGTATACCTCATGTCCAAATTCGAGCGGTACATGGCTTCTTGAATGCTTTCCGACATATCCAGGGGATCAATATCAACAACAGCATTCTGTACATTATTGGTATTATGGTAACCTCTGACTTGATCATGCCCTAGATGGTTCGCATCAGCATCAGCGAAGAAACCTCCCAAGTCTACAGATCGTCCACCACCCTAGTCAAATCCCACATGCACGAACATTTTAAAGAGAACCATAAGGAAAAACAAGCCTAAAATATCATGTGGAACATAAAAGCACAAAAGCATAATACACCGAAGAGTAATCTTTAAGAGTAGTTACTGGCTTACTGCTAACCATCCAAAAAAAAAGTTGGTCAACAGTTGACACTATTGGAGAACACATCTTTCTGCATTTTTTCCTGGAAAAGAGCTTAATAATGTGACATCATCTACACAGCTGATGCCACATACAGAAAAAAGCTCAGCATTTTGTTTTCTTCTTCTTTCCTAATCATTTAGTTCAGCCAAGATTTTTTTTATTGCTTCTGCTTTTCTTCTTAAATCACATCAAAATAGGTATCAGAGCCTAATTAGATCCCAGGGTTTTCCATTAAGACGATGGTTGGGCGTATTAGTGGTCGAGGAAGAGGAAGAGAAAGAGGAAATCGCTGTCAAGAAACAGACATGGTTGCACAATGTCAGACTGAAGAATTGTTGTGTGCAGTTTATGCTTGGCTGCAACAGAAACAAGTGGGAACCCTGATGAAGTTTCTAAAAGGTGCACACAACCAGTTTGACATACTAAAATGTAGTCTTACTCAAGCATCTTATTTTGGTGAGGAAGAAAACTTTCATGATGTTGGACACGCATATCACGTGGAATGAGTTGGGTTGGCGGAGCAATTGGTGCATGCGCTTGAATTAAACAATGGTGGAACTATTACCGAAGTCAATGAGTTTCTAGGCAAGATGCATAAAGAAGAGTATGCTCTCTTAGATCCTATTTATGATGAGTGTCCTGAAGAAAGTGAAGAAGTTTGTATCCAGTTGGTAAAAATTCTTTTATAATTCATAGAATGAAAGCCACACCCTCAAAAGAAGAGGACAATCGAAGGAGAGCCTAAATCCCTTCGATATCCCAAGGGACACAACATCATGTGATGATCTTGGACAAAAAAGCTGATTCAATTCCTACAATTGAAACAAATTATCACAAGAGAAAATTAAGTGTTGAACTCAAGAAAAGGCAGGAAAACTTGGAAGGCAAGTTACAGTGTGACGCTGATGCAATCTTTCAGAGAAAATGTCAACATGAAAGCCGAGTTTCCAAAAGCTGTTGCTAAAAATCGCGTTCTAGTTGTCTAGAGGAAGTCAATGGCTAGTGGCTGAAATTCATGAATGTGGCAAAGTTATCTTTGGAGGATGAGTCGCAGAAAATTCATTGGAGTATTAAATCAGAATTTGACAATTTTAAAGGCAATCCACAAAGGTGGAAGAAGCTGGACTCAAAGAAGATAATTTGGCTCTACTTTTTGTGTAAACTGACATTGATTCTGAACATAAGAAGCAGATTGCATCTACAAGATATTTCCTTGAAGCATGGTTAGGTTCACAAATTGATTTTGATATGCTGGAGGCCGTAATTAAACATATTTGCTGCTATGAAGCTGATGGAGCTGGTCTTGTTTTCCTTATAGATTGGGATGATACTTATAAGTTCCTTGTCAAGATTAAAGTGATTAGCTTTCTTGGGAATCTTAGCAAGTGTATGATTCTTTCTCTACATGGTTCTATGCTAATCGTTAATCAATGAGAAATATTTTATCATCCTCCACCTAACAAGCTAAAAATTGTTTTGGCAACAAATATTGCAGAATGTAGCACCAAACATGGATGATATTGTGTATGTTATAGATTATGGTTGAAAAGTACCAAAGTTTTATCGCTGGAGTTGAGTTTTCCAAGCAGGAAGAACAGCACAGGAGCTTTACAGTTATGTTATTATTTAGTCTTAATTAATAATTATTAGACATATAGATAGACAGCTAGGATTATTAGTTTTCTATTAAGGTTTAAATCTAGGGTTAGGATCCTAAGTTATCATTAGTTTAAATCTATTGCTGGAATTAAAACTTTATTTCTAACCCTAGTATAAATAAGCTGATGGAGCTGCTATGAAGCTGGTCTTGTTTTCCTCATAGATTGGGATGATACTTCTAAGTTCCTTGTCAAGATTAAAGTGATTAGCTTTCTTGGGAATCTTAGCAAGTGTATGATTCTTTCTCTACATGGTTCTATGCTAACCGTTAATCAATGAGAAATATCTTATCATCCTCCACCTAACAAGCTAAAAATTGTTTTGGCAACAAATATTGCAGAATGTAGCACCAAACATAGATGATAGTGTATGTTATAGATTATGGTTGAAAAGTACCAAAGTTTTATCGCTGGAGTTGAGTTTTCCAAGCCAGGAAGAACAGCACAGGAGCTTTACAGTTATGTAATTATTTTAGTCTTAATTAATAATTATTAGACATATAGATAGACAGCTGGGATTATTAGTTTTCTATTAAGGTTTAAATCTAGGGTTAGGATCCTAAGTTATCATTAGGGTTTAAATCCATTGCTGGAATTAAAACTTTATTTCTAACCCTAGTATAAATAAGCTGTAAAATAGTTACAGCCACATCATTATTATTCTTATTATTTTCTTCGAATTAATGGAGAAACTATAAACTTTTATAACCCTATGTTTTCAGGTTCCAACTTCTGTAGAACTTTTTTTTTAGCCTTATTTCTTCTGATTACTGCTCTTTCCCGTTTTAAACCACATCCTAATGACCTATTTTAACTTCAACAATCATAAATTGCACCTGACTAGATCCTTGAATGGACCTGGAATCACTACAGTCTTGCATGTGACTGTCTACTTGTGCAGATCCAGATGTCACCAATGGATTTCCATTACTTAAAGATAACTCGAGATCAATAACTGGGTTTCTATTCACTGGCGATAAAGCAATTGGTCCTGAAACATGGCTCTGCTTCCCATCCGATGACTGAAAAGCAATGACTTGAATTCTTCCCACCTGAAATCATCACAATTATATTTATTGACCTTTCAAGATTTCTTAAAAAAAACTTTTATAGATTGGTTTGAATTTAGTATGAATGAAGCACTAACCTTGTTTGTATCTTCGCTAAAACAAGAAAATATAAGCCCAATAAATCCAGAATCTAAAAGTTGATACATAGCCTGAGACCGCACATCTGCAGAATTCCAGCAACCAATTATATATGCAAAGTTATCATGACCAATAAACAATCTGCCTATGCCTACACAATTAAGAATACTTTTCTTAACAATCAAGTTTCACCAATAAGCAAGCACTCTCATATTGGCTACACAATGTCACAGGTTTAAATTCTAAGGATGTGGTTCCACACTTGCGCAGTTGACAATTTTTAGAACTAGAAAATCAAACACCTTAATTTGCATCCGTTGGATTAAATATAAAACGCATCCAACAGTTAATAGAAAGTGTGCCCGAAAATTGAATAACCTAGAAATGCAAAATGGATTAAGCACTTGTCCATTCAATGGTTCATGATACAAGTAAACAAATTAAAACAACTTCAGATTTCGAAAAGGTAACCATACATGAAATGATATATTCATTAAAACTGAAACAGCAGAATGCACCAAAAAAAAAACAATCTCGTTATTCTTCCAACATATTTTGATAGAAAGCTTCAAACATATTAATATATTTTTCATAGCAAAGTGCTAGAACAGCAGATTAAACTTTTTGAAAAACAGAACTACTCGTTCAAAACTTACCAACATGAGAAGGAAGAACAGTAATATGGGGATGTGAATGGTACCACCCAATCACCCTTGTCGTTCTGCCAGTCGATGCAGTCATTCTGTGATTTGAAGTTAATTTCACAACTAAACTAACAATCTCGAACATGTCACAATGAATCTGAACACGTAAAAAATATTCATAATCAAATCAGTATTAGCTTTGCACTTTTCTGTTGAATGACTTTTGGTTGTGAAAATTTACAATTTTAGGTTATCACTTAAACTGCTTTAGTGAAAGCAGGTAAGGAAAGCACTTATCATTTCAGATTAAGCACAGTGCAAGCGTGTTTATAACTAATGCTTGAGATCATCATGCAAACTACTAACATGAACACAATAAACTCATTTCTCTTAGGCACTTATTTGATTTACGATATCTAAATTATCACCAAGTAATCATAGGAAAGGCCAAGACTAGTGTCTACAAAATCAATTTCTTATACTGTAATGAACAGAAAATAAAACCACAATTTCTTAACAAAGAAAAAAATGCACAAAGATTTAAGGATATATCAGCTTGAGCTGACGCAGCAGCCAACTGTTCAGGATTTGTCTCGACTCGGTCCTTTCGACGATCAGAACGTGATTGTGGTGATGCTCCCCATATGAATGCAGTAACATTTCCATCTTTTGAGTACTGTAATTTGCAAGAGGTGGACAAAGCAACATAAACCAAGTCATGTCATATAAACCAAAAAACAGAATGACAAAACTGCAAGATGAAATTACCCATACTCCTTTTAGCATGAACCAAGGTTAAAAAAGACCAGATTTTTAATCGGATAACTTCTGTATACAGCGATTCGAGTTCATCGGACCGTGTTTCGGTAAAAAAAAAGTTTATCACTTTCTCTATAGCAACAATCCACAAAGACAAACTGAACCAATTACTTTTGAGCAACACATAGTAAAACTTACATCTGTTATTGTATTAAAATAATGCAATAAGTGGATTTTCCCCATTCAAAATGAGGGGGAAAGAGAGCAAACATATAAATTACAAGAACATAGATAAAATTCGAAAGAATTTAATAAAATTTGGCTTAAAAGTTAAAATACAAGAATTCAATTCATCTAATTTTTTCTTATGTATAAAAAAACACAAAGAATTTCAAAATTAATCTCCCAGTCAACATTAGTCACCATATATAAATTTCACTGCAAAAAAAAACGAATAATTTAAAGTTCGAAAAGGAAAAGATATAAAAAAAAGGAAAGGCAAACCTCAATATCACCGAGAAGAAGACCCATGATCTCTTCAGTTTCAGTGGACAATGCATGCGTGAGACAAGTTAACCACACATCCTCTGACATTTTCACACATGTTAAAGACATTCTCTTTATCAATATTTTTTTCTCTCTTTTCTTCAAAAAGAATCTGTTTTTCCCCTCTGGTCCTGTGCTTTTAGATTCAAGATCTTTAGAAGATTTTCACCATTTTTCTCTGTAGAAGGGTTTTTGATTGGGATGGAGGTGCGATAGATCTTGTTGGAGTGGAAATTACCAAGATAAATACACTACAATCGGTTCTAATTTATTTGTTTGTAACCATAAACTCTAGACCGTTGACTTCTTGTTGTACATTAAAAAAAAAGAAGAGAAAATTATCTCAGTGACCAAAAATACCTTATAATATATGATTTTAATCAACTTTTTCCGGATTTGCCAAAATGACCAATAAAATTGCAATGCGATCGCTAATTCGCAACGCGATCTCCATTATCGCAAATTCGCGTTGCGATAGTTGGAAATCGCGTTGCGATTGTCTACAGTGTCGTTGCGATTTTCCCAATTCGCAATGCGAATAAGTAGATCGCAACGCGAATTGGAAAAATCGCAATGCGATACTGACTATCGCAATGCGATACTTACTATCGCAATGCGATAATACAAAATCGCAACGAGATACTGACTTTCGCAACGCGATTCTGACTTTCGCAACGCGATTTACATAGCGCCATTTGTATTAACGCGTATTTTTTTTTCAAATTCCAAACACGAATTTTTTCTTAATAAATCGGAAACTGAACCGTCCACAGTAATCGCAACTCATAACCTCAAACCCAAAATCACAACACTCAGTCCCATCTCCATCTCTCACTCTCTACGGCGAAATCCGTCCCCATCTCCGAAGATTTCCGTCCCCATCGCCGGCGAAATCCCTCACAACCATTCACAGTCAAAAATCCCTCACAATCATTCAGAAATGGAAAATCAACCTCCGAGGTTTAGTTTTTTTATTTTTATTTTGAAATTTTTGCATTATTTTAGGTTTTTCATATTGAGATTGATGATAAGTTTACTGGTAATTTCAATAATAGATTAACCATTTCACTTAGATTTCTTATTAAATTCATTCGATTGCTGCCAATACTGCTAAACTGTTTAGCCTGTGAAGTTAGTATTTGTCTTTGTTTTGTCTTTTGGTTGAAGTAATGCAGAAGAAGAATAGTTTCGAGAATGAAAATCGCAACGCGGAAATAACTATCGCAACGAGAGAATCGCAACGCGAAACAAAAATCGCATTGCGATTTTCATTTTGCGTTGCGATTTTTATTTCGCGTTGCGATTCTCTCGTCGCGATAGTCATTTCGCGTTGCGATTCTCTCGTTGCGATAGTCATTTCCGCGTTGCGATTCTCATTATCTTGTTGCGATTTTCATTTCAACCAAAAGACAAAACAGTGTTGCAAATTTTAGTTTCAAGAATAAACTACTATTTATGTTTATTGTTTTTGGTATATCTTGACAGTGTAGTTTTTGGTATATCTAACTTGGTATGTTTATTGTTTTTTGTAGAAATTTTTTTCGGCTTTATTGACATTAAGGAATAAAGTTAGCCTAGCCACTACAATTGCTTCGAAGCTTTCACCTGCACAAAGAAAATTGTTTGAAGAAACCTGCTTCGGGCCATGGCTGAGAGTACAGCATCCGGGTGGAGATGCTAGTTTGGCCCATTTGTGGCTTCAGACCATGACTAGCGATCTACCCGACAATATACAACGTGGTGAGGAAGAGATATGGTTTCATTTTCCACCGGCGTATACTTGTTTTGGGCGGAAGGAGTTCTGCTTAATCACTGGTCTACGATTCGGACACGATGATGTAGGCCGGTACACTCGTCATATCACCCGCCCATCATGGTTATCCAGGGTTTTTCCTGATGAGTCAATAGAGAAGCCGAACTTATACGTCGACGACATGAAGAAATTGTTTAATAAGAAAGATGGTTTTACTCGGATGAATGACGTCGATGTTGTCCGAGTATGCCTTCTACTACTTTTGTATGCCGGCTTTTTAGGTAGAGAGGCCAGACAACCTATTCCTCAGGAGCTAATATTATTGGTAGAGGACCTAAATGCATGGAATCTGTTTCCGTGGGGTTCGTATATATGGAAAGCTACCTGGACTAAGTTGTCGTCTGCCTTTGATGACCGCAAAAGTTTGCGGGGCGATGGGTCGAAATACACTTTGTCAGGCTTTGTTTGGGCATTTAAGGTAAGAATTTCTATATAATGTTTTCAAAATTATAATTAATTATTTAACAATTACTAATGTTTGTTATTATATTGTTTGTAGATTTGGATATTCGAGGCCTTTCCCGCCATGAAGACATATGCAATAAAAACTTCAAATGATATTCCCAGGGCTATTTCCTGGAAGAGGAAACGTCTGTTGGATTGGGAAGACTTAATACCATATGCGACAATAAATAATGTAAGTTAACACAAATACTATCATATAAACAAGTTATTAATAGTAGACGTTTAACTTTGTTTGAGTTTTTATATTTTTAGGAGGCCAACATTCCATTAATGAGACTGACACCCACGGAGGCTGAGCTTGCCACTGATTGGTGGCAAGCTAGTCAGCGTTTTCTTGATGGCACGAATGATGAGCAACCTCCACTTCCTCCACTTCGAGAGCCATCACCTCACCCAGAGCCATCACCTGATCGACCCGACTATACACCTCTACAACGAGAGCCATCACCTATCCCGTCACATCATCGAGCCTCTTCTCCACCATCACCTCATGATAGGCGACCGACAAAGATGCCACGACTTCTATCTCCCTATTCTCCACCTCCACGGGATGAGTCAAGGGAGTTACGTAATGAGGTCAATGCCTTGCGTGAGGAGATCGGTACTCTACTCGATAACGATGGTGTATGGCGTGTGGAGGTGTCTACTTTACGTGGTGAGGTTGCCGCTCTACGTGAGATGGTAGTATCGTTGCAGAATGAGGTTCATACTCTACGCAACGAGGTAAGTTTAAGATTTTCCATATTTAACTTGATGATAAATTTACTCGTAATTTCACTTAAATTAACCATTTCACTTAGATTGCTTAGTAAATTTATTCGGTTGCTGCCAAAACTGCTAAACTTTTTACTTTAACACTGTGAAGTTAGTATTTGTCTTTGTTTTGTCTTTTGGTTGAAAGTTTGAAATATATTTATCTTTGTTTTCACTGTTTAAATATCATGTCTGTTTATTTACTGATATTTGTATTTAATTATTTAGCGGACCGATAAGGTGGATGCTTTACGTCGGGTTTTTCTTGCACGACAGAGTTCACGCATCAGACGGCGTGCACGTGCTATTAAGTCTCCGTATACCCCAATAGTGCGAAGACACCGCAAGAAGAAGCCCGACTCGCCTGCCATCCCTCAAGAGTCCACTCCTATCGTTGAAGAGGCCCCTATCATTCCTCGAGAGTCCCCTCCCACCGTTCAAGAGGCCACTGTCATCGTTGAAGAGGTCCCTCCCACCATTCAAGAGCCCGATTCACATGGCGTCATATGTAGGATTCTTGAGAAACCCTCTGACGTGCCGGACATGATGGATTCAAGTTGGCTCTCAGTTGATTTTTATCTACATGAGCGAAGCCAGGGGTGTTTCACTGACATATGCAAGCTCAATGATGATATCTATTTGTTGCTTGATCGGTCTTGGTGGGGCGTATTATTAGGGGTCGAAGACAATGGCTATTTCGATGGAGGGGTAAGTCTTATATTTTTCTTATATTTTAATTTGATTATTTTTTTGTAAATTTATGTAAGTTACTAATATATGTCTTTTTTTGTAAAACAACATATCGATGCGTGGGTGTCACGTCTTCTAATAATTAGGAAACTTAAGGAAAATATAAAAGAAATACACGATATACAATTATGCTGACGTCTTTTAACGCCGTTCACTTGAAGAATCAACGAGATGAATCATTTGCGTTGGGCAATGGACAAGCTAAACTTTATCCTGCATGGTGGGAGGTCGATAAGGTTAGTGTTTATTTTAGATTGAGTTTAAAGGTATTCATAAATAAGTGCGCAAATGAATGAATTATTACTTATGATTGCAGGTGTTTATCCCTGTTTTGGAACGTAACCATTGGCTTCTCGTCGAGCTTCAGATCCCATCCCTTAAGGCAATAGTATATGACAGCATGATAAATTACATATCATTGGCTGATTTAAGAGATATTATTAAGGGATGAAGCTCTTATTTGGCTAAATTCTTGGATGCGATAAATTATTGGACTCGTTCTGGAAACAAGAAGCCAAAGAAGCTCAATATTAC